ATTTAGGTTTTTCTTTTACTCTGACAGGAAATTGTGCCCAAGTTTTCTCCATTTACAACTGTAGTTATTAACTGAATGATCGAAGTTGTTTACTTTGTAGGATTCTCCACTGTGTATTTCTAAGTTGCAGATGAAAGTGGAGAATCTTAAGCCCTGATTAGCGAATAATCGCTTGAGTTCTTGTGACAAGAAACAACAAGATATAAGGAAAAAATAACCCTTTATTATTCCAATTAAGTGTAACAGAACTCCGTCTTGGAGTTGTACAATAAAGCCGACACTTGGGCTTGAAACTTAAGAACTAAGAATTAAACTAAATTATCTTAACTAAGAGCTATCGCCGAAGCTATCAAAATTCTAACAGAGTTGGCCCCTTAACGCTAATTGACTGCGAAGCTATCAAGGGCCTAAAGTACGGCCGAGCGTAATAATAACTTACGAGAGAGTAGCCTAAAATGGCGGACGTGTACAGCCAGAATATCTGGTATCTCTCTCACTAAGACTGAAGAACTTCGCGGTTAAATACCGCTTTTCTTCATTAGCATTCAAACGTGATTCTAAAATTACGCTCTGGGCGAAAGTGGTAAGTTGAAATTAAGAATCGATAAGAAGGAAAGTTTAACTCAAAAATTTAACTGTTAATAAAATTAACATAATCCTTACAACTTGGCTTCTTCGTGATCACATTGACTGAGTGCCTTTGCAGTACATTAGTTTTGAAAAAGCAATTGAAAAGATCGATGTTATACTGTAAAGCCACTTTTCTTCTAAAAGAAACTTGAAAAGTGAATTGAAGTAAATGTATTTATATTTAAAGAGGTTTCAGTTAATTGCCTTACAGAAAAGACTCATTACACAACAACTAGTCTATTTTTTAAAAATCAAATAAATTTAATATATTCATTAAATTTAAAGCTTAAACTGTTATTATAGATATATTTTCAGTAAAATTTGCCCGTTGTTTGCAAAAGTGATAATTCGAGAATCATCAAAAATGTGTTTAGATTAAAGAAGTAAAGAAAATACTTTTCCTAAATGCAAAACTAAGGATATAACATTTGCAGTTTTGTAGCAGTTTACATGTTATTCTTTTGTTTATAGAACTAACAAAAACATAAAAACATTATTATTTTTAATTAGACTGCTGCTGCCAAAATATTGTACTTTTCGCATAAGAATGTATGATGTGAGGTAAGATTAATAAAGTAATATTCCTGTGCCATAAACAAACAATTATTCGCCTCGGAGGCGATACTGTTTTATTAATGAAACAGTTTGTTTTTCGCTATCAAAACATCACGCCTCAGCTTTCTGCTTCTGCAGCAATAGTTGTCATACTCCCACTCGACATTGCTCAACCAATCACTTTGATCTCCAACTACTTACCCCCAAGGAAATTTCGCCTCATATATTCATCCTCTTTATCTTAGAATGCTTTTTTTTTTTCGTTCAGCGACCGAATTATTATGGGTGGAGATATTTAAGATTAATCAATTAATACTCCTTTCTTCTAATCAGACAATTAGAATTCTGCTTTTATTACAGTCTGTAATCAAACAATTGAAATTCTTATACAGCTATTCTTTATTGGGTCTTACATGCTATAAATTAATGTAAACTGAATGACTTTTAGATTTTAATGTACTCAGGATTTTAACAGCTTGGCTCAATTCGTTATCCAGGAGGTAACTAAGTCTCTTTAATACTAATTTAAGTCACAGATTGCAATACTTTGCAGTATTTTTAAAATAATTGCTTCACCATTTTAAATGACTTCATCTCTTTCTGGAAGACGGAATCATTTGATGATTATTTCCAATAACATGCTGAACATAAAAAGAAGCATTCGGCCCACCAGCGGCCGAGCGGTAAAAAGTCGCTGAACACTGGTAGTTCGGTCCGAGGTTCGAATCCCGCGAACGGGCTGGCTGCATGGGCGTTTTCGTGGTTTTCCCCATGTGTAACGTGTATACGAGCCAGTTTCCCTTAGAAAGTCCTCCACGAAGGCATCCCCTCCTCTTAGGCAGATAGCCCTAGTGTGCTTTGCCATAATTAAATACACCAAACACCAAACACCATAAAAAGAAGCTTTTTAAATTACAATTACATTCCCAACAGATTATATATTTATGTTTTCAATTGCTTGCAATATAAGAGACTATGACTCTGTTTGTAGCAGATTTTTCCATGTGCCTTTCTGAATATAGTACAGGATCAAAAATGATAATAGGTAAGACACACACACAAATGTCAAAGATAAAACTCAGCAAAAATCAACTTAACATTGGAATTAATTTTAGAGGAAACAAACGATTTTATATAAAGTAGTCTACAAAATCTCTTTGCTCCTTGAACAAAAGATATTTCGTTGTTTGGATCCTTGGAAATTGATAAAGGTTTCCGTGAAGCATCGCCATTCAAGAGCCTGATTTTCTTACACTTAAATTTCAGTGTCTTTAAGCGAATTAAGAAGAGTGTAGGATATATTATTTTTCTCATTAAAAATTCATTTGTATCATTATCTATAATTTCGAGAAACAAATAAATGTGTCGAAAACGAACAAAAAAAAAAAAAAAATGATACTTTCTTAGTTGATGTTAAGTAATGCACGAAGTACTTTCTTTTAATAGCCTGTTTTTGTAATTTTGTTTAAGAATATGACAAGGTTATTTTTACTTATTAATGACAGAAACGTGGCTTCGACGAGCTGAAAATCAAATGTAATGAACCCTTACCGTGTATAAATATTAGCCCTCAGGCATCTTGTGTTTAGCAGCATGTTATGTTATCTAGTCAGTTTCTCGTCGGTCAAGGGTGCTGCTGCCAAGGGATATGTGTAATTGCAGCAATCAAGTCGTAAAACTCGTTATCTCTCAGACTTACGAACCCCTTGCATTTTAGAAGCAGTGTACATTGTTATGGAATCAATATATTTCGGACCAAATGCTTCGAAGATGAAATAGACATAACCGGTATAGAAACTTCTGCTTGCCACCTTTGAGTGAACAATAATTTTGTGTTTATTTTTAACATCTTCAATTTAAAGTTGAAAAGACAAAACGGAAACTATTATTATAACTCCACACACTGTGCATACATCAAGACTCATTAACTTCTTGTACATATAGATATGAATATTATATTCAATAACTGGAATTGCTAGGGGAAATGGAAAACTTAAACAAAATACGGACTGAAAAAAGCTTTCAAGCAAAATTTCGACATTTTACAAATACGTTTAATACCGAAATCTCACCTACAGAAAGCATATATTTAAAAGAATAAGAAAGAATAAAAATAAAATTTTACTTAATTACTTATTTAGTTAATGTTTAGGGCAATGTTTCGTAAAAGGATTTGAAAACACTTTAGCCTGCTATATTTAATCAATTCACATTTCGAAAATATTTAAATATCTATGAAACTTCTTGGTATTTCTTATTATAGGATTAAGCAACTGAATAATAAAAATATATGTGAAAATGCACAATACTCAAAACAACCCAAATAGAAATTCTCACCATCTTCAGTAGTTGTTACAACATTCTTTTGTAACTTTTGTTTTGTTTAGAAGACCAGGGTTCGATTCCCAGGCGAAGTACAGCGGCTTATAGACGAAGAGAAACCTTAAAAATGCAGCGATTCCTATATAAATACCACACATGAGTCGGGATACATTTAGCTTAAAATTTAGTAGGACTGCATACGGTCCAAGAACTTTAATTCAGCTTAAACAGCGTATAATGATGATCAGTATTTTTCTTACTAAAACATTTCAATTGATAGGCTTCAATGAAAAGTTCTCACAATTTTTCAATGACAAGCATTTAAATTTCTGATTGTTTCATTTACTAAAGAATTAAAAATCATTTAAACTTACTTTTTTACCTTAAATATTTTTTATATTTAATATTAAATAACTTTTTAACCTTAAATTATTTTTTAAATTCAAAATGAAGTGTTAGAACAGTACTTGAAATAAATTCTGAATAATAATAAAAAAATTCTATTTAAATGTTAAATTTGCTTTACTTAATCATGTATTTTAAAATATAATATATAGCATGTGTAAATATATATTATTATTTTAAAATAATATATATTTACACGTATTTTAAAATATCGAGACAGAGTGGGTTGTTTATTATTAATCTGATTTCCCCACATTAAAATATGAAGAATAAATGTTAAGTTAACATTTGCCGTCTTCCTATATTTTAATAAATAATATTAAAACGCAATTTTAATATGTCTAAAACTTGAAATGTGAGGGAATAAATTATTTTAATATCTGAAGTAAAAGCAAAGTAATAATTCTTATGAAATTTTAAAAAAATTCTTACATCTCTTGATTTGAGTGAAATTATATTTAGTCTTTTCAAAATTTATTTAAATTTGCGATAATACTTATTTATGAAAAGATTTAAAAACTTTTTTTCACCTAGAAGTAACTGAAGATTTAATGAAGAAAAGATTTAATGAATGGATAATGATTGAAGCAGATCTTACAAAATATGAGAAAAGGGAATACATAACGTAAAAATTATTAACATTTCCTCAGCTCCTTTCTAATATTCTTTATATCTTGCAAGAATAATATGAATTTTCCTGTTGTTCAACAAAATCGTTTTCATTGTGAAAATCCTTTCACTTCCCGTGCATCTGTAGCGGGACCTTAGATATATCTATTTCTGTAATCCAGAACTACTATTCAATGAAATCAGTATTTTTATGACATCACTAAGAAAAACGCAGAGATACGATCTCGATAATCTTCATCTTGCACTGGAAGTGAATCTTGCACCAGTTTTTAATCTTTGGATGAGCGGTGGATCAGACATGTGCTTAAATCAGACGCCGAGAAGCGTTCTTCTCGTTGCTAGGCTGCAGCCAATGGCGTCACTTCGAGCCTATGACATCATAAGAGATGAGGCATTATGGGTGAAACAGCTGCGATTCTCTACCGAAGTATAACCCAGTAAACTACATTGGACCGGTGGAGTGAGTGATTGAAAGGAGCGGAGGAGAATCGAAGGTTTCGTTTTCAAAAATGTTTTCTTCAGTTTAATTTCTCTGATTACTAGAAATTTCTTTTACAAGGCTGAGAATGTATACCTTATTATTTTTCGCAGAAAATTATGTGATGAACAATTCCAGGCTGATCTTGATTCTATAATGAACAACTAAAATATTCGTAAAAGTAGAAGCATCAAAGTTTCTAAGGATTTTCGGGAAGAAAATTTTATCAAAATTGCATCAATGGGTAATTTCTTCTTTCTTGGTCACATTAAGCTTAAAAACTTCGTTTCAACTGATTAATTCAAGTTCAAGAAAAGCATACTACAAAACATACTGCACTCTCTAATGACACGATATGTTATAGAAGAAAATCATTTTTTCTATTTTTAAGGTATTTTTAAGGGAATAGGACTTCTTTTGTTGTAATTTTGTATGATTACTATAAATTTATTATGAGCAAATATGGTGGTAAAGGAGTTCTTTGGCTTTGGACGAAAGGATCATAATGTGACAAACTTACTTTAATAGGAATTCAACTTTTCCAAAGAATTTTTGATCAGAAATTATGTTAGGAATGATGTTTAAATTACATGTTGTACTGTGCCTGGCAGTTGTGCTTGTTTTATTTGGTGCTTCGTTAGCAGATGACATAAATGCTGGGACACTCAGTGATTTTGGGAACACTAGAAACACAGAAAGAATATCGAACCAAATCAATAGCCCTGTAGTCGAAACTCTTTACAGATCTGCAGATGTGTCGTCCGAACCTCCAAACATGAAACTTCACAAAACCAAAAGATACAAAGTAGCTAATTTCGATTTTGATCATATAGCTTCTCCTTTTATCATCACAGCATGGATCTTCGTCGCATGTTGTGCCAAAATTGGTGAGTAAATTTTTATCTACTTATTTTGGAAGTAAATGTAGAGATAACGTTTTTTTCTTTAAAGTTTTGTGCGTTGATTATATGTGCAGATTGCAGTTATCACTCTAAGAATTTATTACTAATGCATCTAGTTTTAAATACTTATGCTTAGATATTAGGACTAAGAATATATAAATGATCTTATTTTATTCAGCTATTTAAACTTTAATTTAGTCGAATAAATTATCAGATTAAAATACATGAATGTAAACAATGAAGCAACAAAAGCGATGGATTGCTCTAATTCTGAATTTTTTTTATTACCTTAGCCTAGTGTATCAATAAAAGTTTTAAGATACTTTTAAGCGTTGCTTAGAAATGTTTAAATTATGCTGTTCCTGGGAAAATTGCCTGATTATAAATACGAGGTTTTTATGCTAAGAAAACATCGTTCTAGCTTTCTTCCTATCATGTTTAAACTTCTGGCCCTGCATGAGTAAAAGATATCCTGATGTTTTGTTCGCCCAATGACAGACATTTAAATGACTTTCCGAAGTTTACGAAGAAGTTAGTTAGCTATGATTCCTTTCATAATATAATCATTTCATATTAACATTATTTTCATAACCCTTTAAATAGCAGGCAGAAAATGCCATATAAAACTACAATATTTTTTGCCGCAGAAATAATGTCCTGTTCTGAGGGGGAAAAATGAAAAATATTTATTTCTCCAATCCCTCTGAATTTATTTATGAATCAGACATTTCTTACGTTACCTTACTTCTGTTTGAATAAAGAAATTAAAGTAGAAAGATCAGCAATAAGCATACATGCCTCTACCTAGGAGGTCAAAATGATTGATTCGTTTTAATACATAGTTACAAAATTTTATTAAAAAATTTATTTTCCATAGTTTTTGTCATATTCAGTTTGATACTAGGACTATCAATGAAGAAAGTATGCCTAATTTTACCTTATCTAAATTATATCATTTTGATGGCTCGGTAATACTGGTGTTAACGATTGGACGTTTAGTTTTTTAAGATAAGTTTAATTAATAATAGGTAAATCAAAATTGGCTAAGATTTTAATGAGCACTTATTTCAAAGCTAGAAACAGGTTGCTTAGATTTTTATGAGCTTTAAACAATATCAACATAAATTTAAAAAAGGGGGGGGGAAGAAAAATCCCATTTGGGCTAAAAAATTATAAAGGTACTGCGAAACGAAGGAAGAAAATAAAAAGTTGATGTTATCAACTCAGAATTCATTTTTCTTTATATTATTAAATAGTTTCCCAATCAAACAATCCATTCTGCTTTGCGTAATCATGTTTAATATTCAGTTGAATACGTTAGTAAAATTACGAACTTCTAACCTTTCTCAATCCATAGAAGTAAACTAATGCTATGGATGAGTCGGAAATTTATGAATTTTCTGTGATCGAATAGTTAATTAAAATTTATGATTTCCTTTAATTTACCGAAGAAAAAATTCCCATTCTGATTAACTAATTTGATTTTTGATAGCTTCCTTTAAAATTTGAGAATCTTTTGTTCCGATTATTTCAAATTTATTAATTAAAAAATAGTTTATATAAAAAATAGTTTTTTCTAAGCTAAAAATTATTCCAAATTTTTAGCTTAGAAAAACTATTTTTTATTTCCTATTGAACTGTTCACTGTCTATACCCTTATATTTCTCTTAAGCCAAACATTGTACATTTCGTTTCGTGACTGAAAACCTTCAGTTTGAATCCCTTCAAAGAGTATTTCGTTTGTTCTTCCTCTTCTGAAATACAAACCTAAAAATGTCTCCGTGTCTTTTTTAAGAGGATGAACTGGAGGTACTCTTTTTCCGGATTATCTGGCTTTATTTCTTTTCTTTTTTAAATTCTGAGTTGGATATAAAAATATAGTATGGGATGTGATTTCTTTACTTTGTATAATGCACATGAAAATCGAAAGCTAAATTCTCACAAAAAGATATACAGTAACTATGATGTTCCTAAATTTTTTTTTGCAGATTTACGAATAAGATTCAATGCTTTTGTTTCTGTTCGGCCACGAAATAGTTCTTTTGCTTTTCATATGACAGTCATGAATGCGCAAATTAATAAAATTTCCTTAATTGTATTAAAATTTATTATCGTGGACATAGTGAATGAATTAGAAAAAAAGAAAAATGCTTGAAACTCTGAAAAGTAGAACCATTCTGTTACAATATTTATTCCTAAAAAAGTTCAAAATGGATAGCAAGAGCTTTTTCCTTTGATAAATAAAATAAAATTTCGCCGATGATTTAGATGTATCAATCACTATACGCGATCGTTGTTTGTACAGATTAGTTACTTCGGAACAGAAATCATATCAGTTGTGCTGTCGCCGAGATTCGAACCATGGATCTTCTACTTTGCTACCTGAGAATGTTAACCACTTGCATCCGGAGAATACACATAAAGGAATAGATAATTTGTTGCATTTTTATTCATTTAAAGAGCAACTGAGCAGAGGCATAAGACCCAGCCATCCAAATCCGAGTGGTAATGAACTATCGTCCACACATTTTCGTTCGGGTGCCGCTGTAGAGATCATTATACATTTCGAACCAGGAAGTATCATTGGTGTTCAAGTCAGGATTCCAACTACGAATCGTCGAATTTGTTATATAGATGCGTTAACCACTTACACTACGAGAGCATGAATGGGGGAATATGGTAATATTTACACTCTTCCATTTTTTCTCTTAGATTAACTAATTCTTTGTTGTTTAGATTAACTTATTAGCTTATTTAGATTAACTCTTTCTCTGCTTCCGGTGCTTATCAAATAATGTTACAGGCTTCCCAGTCCATAACCTATATTGAATTATATTTAATTGAATATAGAATTATTCAATTAAATATAATTATATTGAATTTATTATATTTAATTATTATTTAATATGACTTTGTATAAAAGTAGCTGGTAAAAAATTTCAAATTGATTTTGAATGCTCTGTAATGAAATTGGCCTTGGCTAAATTATAATCCTATAAGTGTGAATGAGCAAGATTATCAATAATTAAGTTCAAATATTTAAAATATTTTTAAATCAAGCAAATGTTACTAAAATTTTATATAAACCTTTCTACGATGTTATATTTTGCTGTGTCTGAAATGCATGGCAAAAGTATGACACATATACATAATTTTCAATGCAAATATCGTCAAATATATAAAACTAGTAAACACTGTTAGACCAGCGTCCGATTCTGACAAAACAGGCTAACTTCATGGGGACTTTTTTTTAAATATACTTCTTTAACCTAAATACGATATATTTTCTCTTAGAAAGCTAATCAAGGGCACAACCCTGCTTCAACAAGTCAACGTTTACTTTTTTTTGTTTTAACCAACTGCGGTAATGCCGGCACTTTGAAAATTGTAAAGTGTGCAGCTGCATAAGAAAATGAATGCTGCTAATTACGCTGAAAGAAGATTGTTATAAAAACATTTTTGTAACGAATTTTACATGGCATGGAAATCTCTTCAAAATATAACAAATTCTCAATTCAGTGTTCGTAAGTCTGTATCAGAAAAGCGTCTTATTATTTGTCTTTATCTCTCCTTTCTTGTTTGCTGCAAAGTATCTGTAGTTTCACGTACAGGCATTGTAGGAAACTCATTTATACTTTCTGTGACTAAAGCTCAGTTTTTTAGTGTTTTGAATAATTTTTAGGTGAATGGGATACTACATGCAAAAGCAATAATATTAATCAAAATGTCGGAATTACCAAAAAATATTGATATATTTATCGAAAAATAGGGAATATTTAAAACAAAATCCATTTATTTAATCAATTTCATGCCCTGTTCATCATATGAATATTAAAAAACAAATTCAAATGCTAATGTGGAACAAAAATGTAGTTGAAAACGCTTTTTGTAAATAGTCTCAAAACGTAAGATAATAATAAAGCATCGAAATGGTTTGAAAATAATTAATAATAATAATAATAATAGACTGTACTGCAAATTGCCCATGATTTATCTACATTATTTTATAAAAATGAAAAAGACTTAATAATGAATTTATTACATCAATGCAATATATTAAGTATTAAATAAATAATCATTGTTCCCTTTAAGAATATTTTCTATGAAATCTGTGTTACTATATCTATTTTCTGTATGAATATTTTATTTTTTATAAACCCTATTCTGTTTCTGTTTTCTCTATGAATACTTTATAAAATTTTAACTATCCTTAATATCAGGAAAGCTTATATATGTCTTTAAAAAGCGCAGCGCATCGACTGAAAATACGACGGTACAGAAGACATAACAAAAATAAACTGAGTTACATTTTCAGAATTAATCAGGATATGATAGCAATTAAAATTTTGCAGGAAAGAAATATCAGAATCTTGCTTGTTAGTTAGGAGAAAAAAGTAGTGTAGTTAAAGCTATCAAAAAGACTTTTTCAGAATTTAATTTCCAAAGGCAGTTTCTATTGTTTTATTCCTTCATGTTATTGTAATTAAAAATCATTCAATTTAATCAGTATTCGACTTATTTGTGATTGTTGTAGGTCAATATTTAAATGACGACTCTTTGTTTAATACAAGGAGTGTATCGTGATCATTTATAGATTGGATATTAAAGTCCTAGTTATCCTTCAATAAAAAGTAAAAGTTGCAGAGCTCAGCAAGAAAATCTAAAATTGTAAAACAAAAATTCCTCTGGCGTGCGCATGCATTTATTGTAAATGGATACATATATATGAAGAACGCATTTAATCATATTATTGAGTTTAAGTACCTATCTAAAAGGTCACATGGTCAAAGATTGTAGTTTCAAACTCTGAACTTGAATAGGAGATTATCGAGCTGGCTTTAGATGGCTCATTGGGTAAGAGTAGCTTACCAGAAAATGAGGGATGTGCTTTATTCTAATACCAGTCAGGCTAAGACCTTACAATTGAGTTTTAAACGCAAAATGAAGAGAAAAGCTCAGTCTGTACATATTGCAAGTAGCTGGGA